TAATTTAGAGAGAACTATTAATCTAACGGTCATGTTTTAGACTGCGGGATGAAGGTGGAATCCTGTGGGAGATCCAAAAGGTCCATGGGGAAAATATACAAATTCTATTTGGTAAGCTTCAAGTCCCTAGGATTCAAATCTTGCAGTTTCTTACACAAGGCAGCTTTCAGCACTTTTTCCTCAAAAATCACTGAGCTGATGCAAAATCATTAAATTGACAAACATATAAAGTGAATGAAATAAAGGTGAATCAACATTGACTTGAATGAATTACCTAGGAAAATAATTAGAGTAATCTTCTCCCGAGGCCCAGACACTGGTGGTGGAATAAGTAAGAGGGTGAGTGGAACTGATCATAATCTGAGAGTGAGGGAGGAGATGGGGTGGAGGTGGGTGAAAGTTTGCTTGTGTGTGGGAGAGAGAAGCTAGACCAGGAGCTAAATGAAGGGGATCTTGAAAGATGTCTGGGTTCAGAGGAGGTGTGGTCCTGGGATGAATGGCTTAAGCTGGAAGAACAAAAACTAATCACTCTATAAGTCAGGGGTAGGGAAATCCAGTTCCAGAGACCGGGTATCTTGCAACTTTTAGACGTGCCTTTGGTTCAACGCACCTGAATCAAGTAATTTGATGGTTGAGAGGACTCTAGAGGAACTGACCAGCCATTTGTTTCAGGAACTCAGCCATTTGATTCAGGTGCATTGAACCAAGAATGGATCAAAAAGATGCAGGGTACACAGGAATATGTGATACAAAAAGCCATGGAAACAATCTGGGAACTTGTAAGGGTAAGAACACCAAGCACTATGTTGTGTCTTTAGTTTGCAACTGAAGGGATGGTGCAATTCAAAAGATACATGGTGTCATGTAAAAAATAATATGAAATGCAACTACTAAAATAACTTCTAAACACATCAGCCAGGAAGCTTAAGAGTAGGAATACATGGATCATCCAGGTAAACAATGACTCTATGGTTGTGTCCTAACGTCCACCCAAATCATTTTATAGGGCACTATATAGTGCTTGTGGCTTTTTAGGTGAGTGTCCAAACATCTAATGGATGCAAAAGTAGTGGACTCAAAATTTCCCATGGTGCATCTTGAAAAGAAGTGATCGTCGGTCACTAGATAAGCAGATATATCCAAGATTGCTTTGGAGCAAAACGTAGTGATCATCTGTCTGAATGGTCAGTTAACTAAGTCCACCATATAGTCCCTGCTCTATATAATGATTGAGGGATTGAGACTTAGGGGTTAAGGCAGACGTTCAAACAGTCTGTGTACAACTAAATTGATCACAAATTATGTGAACTAAACCAAGTTCTATGTTCTAGAATGGATATCGCAAAATTGGGTTTACCTCAGGGTGAACTTCCTACGAAAAGGTGAAGCTTGTGAAAGGATAATTAAAAAACGTTATTTTCAAAGCCATTCTTTTTAAAACGGCAGATCTAATTAATATCAAATTATCCTAAGTCAAGTAAACATATCTTCATTGTAGCTGAATAACAACGATTTTGCCAGAACAGTATCTGGTAGTGAAACACCTTTACAACAAGTGATATTCAGTGAAATATTAAAAATGACACTTGAGTAACCTTTAAAAATACAACTAATTAACCAAAAAATGTAGCAGACAGAGATAAAGTCCTCACGTGTATTTAGTATTCTTCTAATATAGTTAGCCCTTCAATTATTTTTCTTCCTATTTGAACAAGAGAACCTGAGGGGGAGTTTTCACAGGCATGAATTATTCATGTGGATTAACTTACCAATTGTCAGATTTTTACTGCTGGACAGAAAAAAAAAGAATACTTCATTGAAATCACTCCTAAACTCAAAGCCTGTCTTCTATACAGTTCATTTGACACTGTAGCCATTTTTGCTCATTATTTCTGTGTGGCCCTCCGTCCCTCCAACTCTATCTCACTCCTATCTTTCGTGCTCACTCGACCATGAGACGAGAGGATGACTCGTGGTGTGCTGTAAATTTCATCTTTGTCAAGCCAATCACTTCTGGCTGCAGCTCAAGGGGGGACATCTGCTTGTGGGAGGGAATTTAGTCTTTGGTCGATGACTGCTTTACCGTCAGCAAAAACAGTCTGTCTATGAAAGACAAAGGTAACTGTTAGTGGCTGCAATATTAACAGTCACTCCAACACCATATGAGTGTAGGTCTGAAGTCTGAGCATATACGCTGACTTTTCAAGTGAAATGCTTTCTTTTGCACTCTATTGAGACGCCTGGGGGGTTCCTTGCTCAATCTAACAGAATGGACAAATAACATTACTGATCTGTGCTTAGTGCATTAACGTAAAGGTTGCTGTATCTTTTCCACCCATGCCTCAGGCAGATGTACTTAACTCTAAATAGCCAATTTGCTATTGTTAACAACATGCCACACTCCACCCTCAGGATAACACTATGAACAAAAGGGCAACAAATAGCTCCTATTTCAAGAGGGCAGGTTATTACAGGGCATTAAACCAGGGCCCACACAGACATTGTTAGTGGGCACTTAACCATCTGTACACAAACCACCAGTGGAACGCATCTGAACATTAGTCATAAAGCCACACCTCATCTCCATATTGACCTCCATGAAAAGAAGTGTCCTTTCTAGCCCATTCAAGCATACAGGCAGCATTCATAAAACCCTTCCCCACTTTAAACCATGACCCCCAAGAGAGACGTGCTGTCACAAAGTGTTCTGGGCCGCAGAGAAAACCTGACTGTGGAATATCAAAAGCTCCCATCTGTCCACTACTCTCTTCACTCTCCTAGTTTTCCCCACTCTGATGTCACGTGAAGGGCATGTCCTGCAAGGCCAATGATTTAGTCTGACTGAGGACTCCAGAAAATGAACAGGTCACCCTAGAGTCCCACTGTCTGACGGGCAATAAAGCTTGTCATTGAAGTGTGAGCAGAATGCAACAAGTCCACTGCGATGTCATTTAGATGAGAAACAAAGTGAACTAAGAATTATATTCAAAGAATACACTAAGAATGTGTCAAGAATTTAGATGGAAAATGATTTATAAGCCATAGTAATGTATCCACTAAGATAACGCCATGGATGCCTTTGTAAAATATGATGTGAAGACAGTTTTCGCATTAGTCAAAATGAGTATGTGAAATACACAGCCTTATCTGGACTGTACTGTGAGTTTTAAGAACCTAAGTAAGTAAAAAAGGGATGGGGGAGATCTGCTCCATCAAAAGGAAGCTGAAATGTGTACAGCTTTTTTTATTTCAAAACACATTGCAAATATCCAATGATCTTCTCTCATTATTAAGAGTAATTACCTAATAAAACCTAAGAAAAAACCCCAAAGTAATGCATAATTATACAATGGAATAAAATGACTCATGGTTAACACAAGATTAAATTTAAGGCATGTATTTGTATACAAATAAATAGTTAACAATGAACATCATGATACCAAGGGACAGTTAGGAATAAAGTTGTGAAGAAATTTAAAGAAGGATTTTTATTAATTAAAAGAATATCCAAAATTTAAACATCTTACTGAGATGTTTAATTAATCTTTCTTAGAAATGTAAAGACTATGCTAAATCGAAAACCTAAGAGGATATTAACCTCCGACTAAACTTACACACAAGCAAAGAAGAGGAATGAACAGTAGAGTAAAAATGAAAGCCATTATTAAAAGTAATCCACAAGAAGATCCACTTATTTTATTGTATGGGAAATGGCAAACACTGAGAAGAGGGTTGTCTGAATGTAACTTTTTATGCTACAGTATTTCCAAAATGCCATGTCTGGCAGAAAACCAACTTAAAGAAATACCCAGAATACAACATCACTCTGTCTAGATACTTTTCTTAATCAGGGCTAGAGAAGCAAGTCCCAGTTAATGCAACATACTGACAAGGGTACCCCTCAAGTCAGTATTTGACCCGCAGGGTAAATGACAGTGTATCACGGGACACGCAACAAAAAACGTTTAAGTTTAGCCTGCAAAGTTACTATGGTAGCTTTAGAACTGTATGGTGACATGAATACTACTGTTTCTTTAGGTTTAGGGGTTAGGGTAATGTATGGGTTAGTAGTACGCTTTTACTTCAAAGCTCATGGAAACAGTGTTTGAAGTTCCTGCTACAGCCTATCATGAACACCGCATGTCAGTTACTGATGAGAGGGGTCTTCTCATCACGTCAGTATCTGACGCGCGGAGGGACTTGACCAAGTGTCAATATCTGACGAGTTCAGAGTGAAACTGTATTGGATGATAGGAAGATATATCATGCATAGATAAATGGTGGAAGAAAACTCTGTCTGTAAAAGACTAGTGACCAGAGTGGAGGTGCAACTTCCAGCGGAACAGCTGCCACAAACATACAACCAGTAGTTAAGATGAATGGCTTAGATCTGAAAAACTCAAGTTGATAACAGTGATGCCCATACATACAACTCTGTCCTGCATTGTTTAGGTGTTTTCTTGCTGTCAAAAACCTGACATATAAATGAGTAATTATTATTCATCTGAGGCACTTGATGACTACTGAGGAGGTCATGCAGTTGAATTGAACTTGATATGACAGAACAGAGACACTTCTACAACAGTATAGGGCGGAACTAAATGAGTACCATGGTTAGGAACCACTATGTTGGAATGGTTCAGTCCAAGTCTAGACCAATGGAGAGCGTTACATCCAATAGAATAGCACTGACAAGCACTATAATTTGTGATGATGTACCAATGACCGAGGAAGAGCTATTTTTGCAAAATGGAAGAATATTCTAGAAAGTGTTGTTTCTAGGAGGTAAGAATGGAAGCTGATTGAATGCATGCCACACTTCTGAGATTAATATGAAACAAAAAAAAAATAAATAAACACATTTATTGCCACTATTATGCACCACCAAGTTTTGGTGTAGCACATAAATATAACTGTCCCAATGAATGAATGCTGCCTTTACTAACTGGTTTATAAATAGAAATCATGCGTCGGGCATAGAATGATATAAGTAATTTTACCTGGTTCTTCAAATCCAACTTGGGACATGGACGTCCACCATTAAACGCTTTCTCCCTGAGCCATTTGGATCTCATTTTCAGCCCACTCCCACAGGAGGAACTGCAGGCTGTCCAGGAAGACCATTCACTGAGTTTACAGTCGAGGGGGCAAGGAATATGACAAATCTCGACGATGTGGCCTAAAATTGAACATTGGGAGAACAATGAGACCTGATTTAGAGCAAGAATAGTAGGAGACAAAGGAAAGATGAATGGAAAAAAGGAAAAGACACAAAAATAGAAGGTGGGATACAGAAAACTAAAAATACGTGTTTTTCCAGATTTTTATTTTTTGTTTTCATTCATTATCAGTTCATATTATATTCAAATTAAGGTCAATATTTCCCAGACCCTAGAATCTTGTTCCCTATATTATTAGTATCTCAGTGAACACATATTAACACAGATAGTTTAATAAACAACATGCCTAGCTGGAACTAGCAGACTTTGATATTGACTCATCATTTGGAAAAGAAAAAAAAAGGATACCTTCAATGAAAGAAAAAAACAAAACAACATAAGCATTAATATTTTCAATAAATTTATACCTGAATCTGTACAGAGTGTTGGGTTAACCAGGTGTCCTTGCTGGTCAATGCAAGCCACAGCTCTGTAGCGAAGACCTTGGCCACACTCCTTTACCTCTTGGTGCTTCATCCAGCCCTGCAGCGAAACTGGAGAATTTGGAAGGATGCACGCAGACCAATTCCCAACTGGCTGAGATAAAAACTGATTACAGGGACAAGTCTCGTTCTCTTCCAGCGGGTACAAATCCTCATTCAGGCAATGCTCCTTCTTTTTGCTACGGCCTAAGCAGAAGACAAACAAAGCAATGAAAATCTATGAAAATAAGGCCAACATTAACACTTGAATTGAGTAAGAAAACATTGTCCCTTGTAGAAAAAGAGGGTAGAATGTTGAATGCATTAACATTTCATTTATTTTCGAGTTACGTAGCATGCATTGATAAATAGGTAGGAAACAGATTTTCAACTGGGAAAAACAATGATAAAACTGAAATTAAATATTTACAACAATTTAAATTACAACAACTTGTGTTGCTAATTTATTTATACTCATACATTGTTAATCTTACTGAGTGGGCAGCTGAGACTAGAATACACATTAGCAACTTATTGAGCATGAATTGTTGATTTAAAGTATTGCCACTGTGGTGAATATATGATCCCAAATGGTTCAACAACTTCTTCCTAACTAATATTTCCACAATTCCCCCCCCCCACCAGTTGTATATAATTGGAAAATACTCACTATGTTGGCAATCACTTAATCAACAATTGCATCTGACTCTACCAATTCCTAAATTTAACCACATCTTACAGTACTATATCTATCAAAACATTTCAGGGCTACACTTCATGTTTGTTTGAGAAATCTTAACAAAACACTAAAAAGAAAAAACAATTGCATCAGCATCTAAAAAAAAAGAGAGATTTGTTTGATTAAGTCGCTGTTAAATGTCCATCAAATTGGATTTGAGTTGTTTTTTTCTGTAATTAGACAGATGTTTAAGTGTATGTGTGTTATTTATTTTTTCTATGTGAATAAAGCTATTTTAGTCTCTCATAACACAGCAAGAGGTTTTTCAGTTTATTCATTTATCAACTTTGCTGAAATCCGTATTGCCTGAAACTTTATTTTGCGCAGGAGAGGCAGAATAAATGCATTCCAAATCAGTTTAAAGTGCATCATAATCAGCTGAAAGAAAGCATGTCTTCATTTTGTGTGATCCCTAAATAACCTGAGGGAATGACTGGTTTTGTACAAAAGCATTTTAAGTTTTAATTTTCAATTTATGTTCAGGCCCCAAAAGGCACATCTCTGCTTCTTTTTGTTTTATCACTATATTAGAAAAAGTCGGAACTACAGATTCTAAAAGAAATACTGGTCTATTTTCATTTTTCTGTTACTGATCATTTTTTATTTTTGTCATGGGAGTAGTTTTTTTTTTCTGTCAAAAAAAATCACACTTAATGAAAATTTGGAGATCTGACATATTTCACAATAGGCAAAAAAAAGAAAAATCAAAGACAGTAGATAGATTTGGTTTGAATTAATATTTTTGGTGCCTGTTCCTCTCTTCTTTTTCATCTCTGCCACAAGGAGCAGTCACTCTTTAATAGTTAATATCATCAAAGTTTTCATTGTGAGTAGTGATTTGGGGACCACTATGATCTACTAGTCTTGGATTACTGCATGCTTTTACATACAGTAATACATTAGGGCAGCTGTCTACATGCAAACAATATTTGCCCTTCATGCTCTCTTTTCATTCAAGCTATATGAAGATGTTGATTATAATTTCCTTGAACAACATTTCACTAGCTCTCATGGTCAAAAGTACCAGTAAAAGTATCAAACTGGGCTTCCTGGTCAACCAAGAAGAGACATTCATTGATGACTTTCATGCCACTCCATGCTGATTTTTAAAAAAAACATTGACCAAATATTGAGAATATATATTTGCATAGTAAATAAACACTTTTGATAGGGTTTGCATCTTATAATGGGATAGGTTTTTATTAGTATTGTGCAACATTCAATGCTTTTGGGACCCTGCTTTTTGCTGTTCTTTTAAACTTAGTTTTGATAAATAAAATGTATAAAACTGCACATTTGTTTTAAAATGTATTTGACCTTTTTCAAATTTTCATCTGTCTTTTCTTTTTTTTATTACACTGAAATGTGTTGCCATCAAATACATTTTAAATATTTCAATATTTCACAAAGTTCTGTGCTAAACAATTAATAAATAAAAAAAATTAAAAACTACTGTATGTAATGGGATGCACTACTTCTAAAATGTTAAACTGTTGTCTCAAGAGGTTAAAGAATATTTTATAAGGGATTATCAAGATGTTTTTATAGTTTGGATTGTGTGATTAGCCTTTTACTGTAGTTTCTTTTAATAGAGTTCAAAAGAGTTCCTTGGAACTATTATGGGTGACTTTTTTGTCTCTTCCTGATTTTTAAATCATAAACCGACCTCCAGTAAAGCAAACAAGGCCTGTTTAGCTTTATGCTGCACACTGCAAGTCTTGATGCTTATGATTTTTTTCTGAACTCCAACTATTTATATCGTGTTTTTGTGGATTAGTGAGTGCAATTCTGAAGAGAAGTCCATATGAATAAATAGTCACATCCATGATGTTAAGGTGAAAGTCCAATGAAATATAACATGACCGTTCTGGCTGCAGATACTGGGATACATATCTGATATAGTACAGTATGTCAATGATGGCTTTATACACTTTCACAAATAGAAAGGACATTAATTATTTTCCTTAATAACTTCTGTAGGAGCCATGTTTAAGAATATATTTTATTTTAGTTCCCATATCTATCCCCAAAATAAACCTTTTGTTTGATTAAAGGATAATGATGAAAAGACAAATTGTGTATTTTGAGATGGCTCTGCATTAGAGTTTGGAAATGCAATTGTATAACAACAATCAGAATGTTAAATGGAACACGTAACCAACAAATTGTGGAATTGAGATTATTTGAGGCTGCGTAAACGTATTGACCTCTTCCTTAGATGGCTGCACACAGATAAATGTTCAGACAGGAAACTGATTCTTTGGAACCTTTTTATTGACTTAGCCATGGATTTTAAAGGAAATTATAATGGATTATCCTGAAAAATAATTGTAAGATTAGCCACGTCAGAACAAAGTGTTGCTTGCTTGTATAATTGTCAGTAAAGCAATCATCTCAATGCCTGCAGAAGGAGGTTCTTCTTCCTTATTTGTTCTTGTCTGGGTCTTAAAGACCAACTGCCCTTTATGCTTTTAATGTGTCCCTGCTTAAACACAAACAAATTAATTTGATGGGTCATTAACAGAAGTCAGCGCAACTAGATGACCTGCTGGGGAGATAATTTAATCATTCAGCTCTTTCAGACAAGAATGTTTTTATTTTGTTTGCCCTTTCTATGTGGGTTGTTTTTTGCTGTCAGCATTTACACTAGAAAATAAATGAAGGAATTAACAAACCAGCAGTGATTCTCAGCTGGTACTGAAGCCCATTAGAGGCACACTTGAAGTATATTTATACCGGCTGCTACAACATAAATGACTCCACTGGCTCAAGGGTATCCTTCTCTCATGAAACACATAAGAAATGTACATCAACACAATCCCATTTAAAGATTTTTGTGATAAATGACTCCATGTTAGAGCGATTATAAAAACATGTAGGCCAACTAATCAACCAATCATTAGAATGTAAAGCAGTTAGAAATGAACAAAAGGATTTCATTGGAATCAATCAAGAAAATGGTACACACAAGTCTACAGCACCATATTATGTAACAGCACAGTACAAGCACTGAAAAAATCTCATTACTAAACAGAATATTTTCCATAAATTAACTGGAAGAGAAGACAGAATTGGTTATGGGTTATCAAGAGAAGGGCAGTAAGAATACTGGAGTTGCAGCAAATTCTTCTGAGTGCAGATTTTGTTTTGCATGTGACAACAAGGTCTTATATTATCCATATATCTGGATTGAGGATGACGATTAAGATAATTTTCTTCCCAAGAAAACATAAAGCTCTGGCTAATGTCACCCTTTATGTTGTGTCAATTGATGCAACAATAAACTTAAAAAATTAGCCAGTCTGACCCAGAACCTGTGGTTTTAGTCTACTTTTGTGGAATAGCCCAGTTAGCGTTTAAAACTTAGAATAACAGAGCATATGTTGGGTTGTTTATAAATTATTGTTGAAAAGAGATTCCCTCACAATCTGACATAATTTAAGGATATTTCTAGGGAAGAATGGGCAAAAGATTTCCAGTCAGGTTGTGGGATATGGATAGACTTGTAACAATTAAAACTGATTGTTGAAACTAAATAAACAGATAGGTGAAAAATGTTCTTATTACTTTAGGCCTTTTTTTCGCTTTTCACTTAGTTTTTCACTGTTAGTTTTCAGTGGAACTGCAAATGATACAGTACATGTCACATTAAAGATGGTAAAAGTTCTAAAAGAATATTCCAAGATCTATTATTGTCCTTTCCTATTTCCAGAGATGACTCGTTTTTAAATCCACAATAAAGTAGGGGGAAAAAACACAGTAACATGAAAATATTGTAACATAAAACATGCTTTGCTTTGTTTGAAAGTATTTTAACACAAATATATGTTGAACTAGAACTCTGCATTGCTGCATTTTTTGCCTTAGGATCTACAGAATAAAACTCTTATAAATGCATAAAGATGACAGATACACTGGTTTATATTAATAAACATTCTTTGTTCAGTGACACACCGGGTCTTTAGGGCATTGTTAAGAAAACATTCAGCTGTCAACTCCACTTCATGTACTTGTCAATATTAGGTGAATAATTAATTTGACCCTGCCCTCTTGAAAGGTCTTTAGAGCAACAAAATTATGTAACTGGCTCGAATGGACTCCGAAACATCACAATATTTTTGCCATACTGCCCTTTGTTTTTGTCATATTGTAATCATACATTGCTAGTCTCAAAACCCTCCCTCACAAACATGCCAAGGGGGAAAAACATAAAAACATTTGTCCCAGTGTAACAATAAACTAAACTCGAAATATTTAAGTGTATCTTTGGTAAAGATTTCAAAACAAAGAAATTTATAAATATCAGGTGATATCTTTGTTTCGTTCTGATCAAGTCAAAGATATATTTTGTTATATTTTTCTTCATCGGATTCCTGTAAAACAAGAGTAATTATTTAAAGTTGTACCTCTCAGTCATTAAAACTTGAATAAATATTTTTTCTTTATTTGTTTCTTTATTAATGGAATC